AAAAAAAACGCATTTGTTGTCAACATTGTACGCAACAGTAGCAATCAACAAGTTCCTTCGTTAATCAATTGTTGAGCTCCGCTTATTGAGAGAGTCAGCCAGGCGAAAGAGGCACAGTCTTACCGTCGTCTGTGTGAACAGTTGATCGCGCAAATGAGGCGTTTGCAACAACAAACTAGGACACCAAGCGGTAACGAGCAAGGCAAGCATTTACCTTCTACTTGATCTTAGCGCAAGCAAGAAACAGAACCAATTTGAAATGGCATACTCGGAACAACACAGCGCTGTGTTCTGCCCAGTGTGCCTATTCTAGTGTTCCCGTATGCAGCTTGCACGACTATCAAGCAGAATAGAATACTAACAAGCCCACGTTGTCACCTTCATCGAACATTTACCACTTGTGTAACGTACCTACCATTCGTAGACGTCTCCCCTAGTCACAACCTACAGCAAGGAATGGCACCCCTTCGGGGAACTCCTATAGCAGAGAAAAACCCATGGTTACACATAAGCAAAAAGTCACAGCTTTGCCTCAAAGGCGAAGCAAAGAATGCGATAGCAACAAATTTGAAGGTCACGCGCAGAACGGCAAGCAGATCGAAACGTAACCCACGTTTCTCTCGTACAAATGGCGTACGAAACGCATTCACAGGTACAGATGAACGCGAATAAGCGTCTCGGTTGTTACTTCGCTGTGTCTGAAAAGCGTGCTCTTTCGCAAATGGAGGCTATACAACGATTTTAGTGACGTCTGTGCGCCAGGTAACTACAACATAATCGTTCCAACGAAACGCAAAGGCTAGCCAAGACGTATGATTCTTCCCGCTGCAAGATAAGGGCGTGCGATCGAGCGTACACACCCTTATTTTCTACGCGGTCGAAAGTACGCGTGAGAAAGGAAAGCCGCCACGCGCTCACTGCGCCATCTCGCTTGTAATGCTGAAAACACGATAGTTTCCCCCCGAGATGCCCGCCAACAGCGGTAAGTGGTAGATACGAATGGCTTGCCGTTTGATTGTTGAAGAAGGTACCATTCGGTGGCTCTTGTGGCCAGCGCGCGGTTTTTGTGTGTTCGTTTTCCGACTCACTATCTGTGGTCTGTTGGAAAGAAAAACTGTACAAACATTTATGTGATACTATGCTACCCATCCCACTGTACAGAGCGCTATACACAGCGCGCAAGGATAAGAATGTACGTACTTAAACGAGTTTTAAAATGCCGGCAGCTCCAAGTTCAAAGACGTTCTTTTTTTTTAAATTACACACTGGTACCCTTCCTGTAAGAGGAGCGTGGGCTTTATGTGCCTTGGCGATCTCACTGTCTAATCTGTAAGAAACCGGAAAGTATTGATCATATTTTCCTGCACTGTTGGGAAGGAGTTTACTTTTGGGACATATTACAAAGGACCATTAAAAAAGAGTTTCCGTTAGACCTTCATGGAATCATGTATTTGGCAATACAGAATGAAGATGGATTACCTTTCGATTTCATCATGATGACTGCCTTGCACGGTATATGGTGCTCTAGAATGGCTGGATTTCACTGTGACACTGACACGAGACATGCAAGAGAGTATTTTGAAGAAAGTATCTCAAGGTTTCTCGAGGTAATAAGAACAGACGGATGTGTACCTTTGTGGTTAGAAAAGGTAGATGCCCTACTGACCATGAAGGAATTCTAGGACGTGATGTGTTATAGTAATGCTCGATGGCCATAGTTATTTTTTTTCGTTGTGTATTGTAATATTTTTGTCTTAGCACCCCGTGTGTTAAGGTTAACCAAAAAAAATGAGAAAAAAAGCCTTTCGGTGGCTTAGTGGTTAACGCGTCGGATTCACGACTCTGAAGTTCTACGTTCGATTCCACGCGGCGGAGTGTTTTCTAATGTTTTTTTCTTGCGTTTTCATATATATAGATACGTATACATATACGGTACATGACGCCGAAGCCTGGGGCGAAATCCAGCCGAGATTGTTCATATAATTCTTATCGTAATAAAATGAATTTATTTTTTCAAAAAGTGTTCCTTTGCAAGGTTTTGTCAACGACTTATCCTCACGTGCAACGCTAAGCGATTAGATGCTTTCAAACTGACGTCTCCACTTTCTGTAGCGCACGTAATGTATTGCTCCATAGAGTCGCCTCAAGTGCCTCAGTTTTGGAACATCGGCTTCTAAAGTGCATAAACATGTTGGATCGTTCTTATTTCTTACAAAATTGAAGCAGCGCTAGGTGACATGTGCTTCCTATATAGTAAAATTATCAAGATTACTTACCGTACCTCTCCGCTCTCACTGTATGTCACTTTGCTGATTGTTTGCACTTCGTTTGAGAGTGAAGACCAGCGTTAAAGGAAGAGTCGTAATACAACGTCACACAATATTAAGTACTACGAAGGTCGTCGATGGCTCGTATCAGTATCATATTGTCTGTGTGTGTGGGAGGGGGAGACATCTGCTTGTGTCTCGGTCGAAGGAGAGAGGGGGGTGGTGGTGACAAACCAGTTCACTTCACACCGAGCGGACGTTGCATCACAGGGCTGAAAGACCCACCGCCGACATGTCGTGAATATTTCAGCACACTTTTCCCCAACACCTTCGCAGTTTCCTAGCTGCGCAAAATAAGCACAACAGCGCAAAAATAAAAAACAAAAAAATTCTGGGGCCATTACCTTTGCTTGCTGACTAGAGAGATACGCTCGGAGGAAAAAAGGTAGGAAAGATACAAGAAAACACAAAAAGATAAGAAGTGATCGAAAGAACAGGAGAAACTTAAGGACGTGTAACAAAAGCGAGTGCAATCCTTGGCGCTGCTGCCATCGATCGCAAGGTTTCTATCCGGACGACCGCTTTTGTCTCCTGCGCTTTATGTGCCCGTTGTGTGTTTTATGTGGCATCAATCTTTCCTATATGGACAGCTCTTGCTTGGCTGCATTATTATCCTTCACGGCCTTGTGGTGGCAGACATATTTCTTTATCGTACCTGTGAGTATGATGTTTATTGTGTGCTTTTCGCTCTTTTATGACCGCCGGTTATACATAGGAGTCTTTGGACAACCGTTCTCTCTTGTTGTGGCTTTTGGCTGTTCAAGTGTGGCTGACTGCGCATCGGGTGAGGAGACGAAAATAACGTAGATGGAATGTATGAAGGACACACAATTAGGTCTTGGCCAAATGTATGTTCGTACGACGCAGCTTCGTTAGCGACACTCTTTGGAGTGCTAGACGACTGCTGTTAATGTTGTTAATGTGTGAAAATTTTCTTCGATCAGTTATTTCTCTCTGATCAGTTATTTCGCTCTGATTCCTCACTCTGCCATGTTCTTGAATGTCCTCCCTTCTTCGGGGATGCACGAACATTCGGAAAAGTGTTGGCCTAAAAACGTGGAGTTGTGAAATTGTGAAATGGAGCACTAAATTTGTATATCATCAACGATTACTTATAGCGTTTCTGTACGACTGTGACGCATTTAATTTCAATAGATAGTTATCACTTAGAGATTGAGTGTTATGAACATGTTTAGCACTATTGGCCGCTGTGATCTTTAAGTGGTAATTTCGCTGTTCTATCTGATTTTGATCGCAACTATAGCTGACACTTTGAAAATTCGGGTTTGGGGCAAAGTGAAGCACGAAATAGTCATACGTTTTTATTTTTATAAATATTGATACATAACGCCTCATATTTAACTTTTTGCTTTTCACGCTTGGAAAATTGCGCACAAAATTTTGAGGATAACTGCAATTTTTAGACATCATAAACTCACAAAAACACTGGGATGTACTCACTCGGAAAGCTATCCCAAAAGTCAGGAATAGCTTTGCTCAAGATGAACGCGAAAACACAAAAAAGAAAACAATGTCAGGTTGGTTGCTCTTTCGAAGAAAGAGGCCTTAATACTAACGTGCAAATGGCACTCGATTAATGAAATTGTGCACCGATTTCACACTTATGCAGTAATCATTTACACTACTTTTTACACCAATGGCCAGACAACGCATTATCGGGGTTACAGTTCGCAACAGTTTACGTCTTATCGCCAGAAAAACTTCCTTCATTTGCTATGGGCGGGCGAGATGCATGAATTTGTATTGAAAGTATCATGGACAGCACTTTCTTGTCTGCTTCCTGGCCATCTGCTATAAACAATAAAACCAATAAAATGCTTAGCAATAAGTAGTAACACGAGTGACATCTACTGTTGGTAACGATTCTTTAATACATTATAACGTCACCGAAAAGCGCAGAAAAGCTGCATGAGCCACGTTGAATCATATGAACTCTTGCGATTGCGTATCATTTTGGCTGCAATATATGCCCTCCCACTCCCCACTGAAAAAAAAAGAAACAATTGCAACCACGGTTCTACTATCAGCCAGCCTACGCAGCGCATTTCGGTAGCACTCTGAAACAGAAAGCATCGTGCTCCCCGCGCTAAGAGTGAGTGGCTGCAGATGCGAAAGGCAGTAAGCGTCGCCATAGTCCAGCTAGCTGAGTCGTAAAACAGCTACGCCTCCGCTCCTACTACGCCTTTAGGTGCACAACCCCGAAGAAAAGAATACCAGCCTATAAAAACGAGAGACCGAGCATTGTTTCTGCCTTTCCGGGTCACGGGGCGAGCTCCGTGTCGTTTGTTGCTCGAGAGCAAGCGAGGCCACGGGAGGAAACGTCTCGTGCATCCTCTGGGCGCTTTTTCTTGGCCGCGCGTGAACGGCGAGCTTTGTTGTTCGAAAAACAAAAAAGAAGATGAAGGAGAGAAGAGCCTGGGACTTCGCCGAGAAAACGGCGTGAAAAAACAAAAAAAATGGGGACGGAACTCCCCACGAAGAAGGCAGCAAAGAGCAGCCCGGGGCGCAGCAACCGTAGGCGCCCCGATACGCCCAAGAGCAAGAGGCCTCACTTTCTCCCGAAGCTCGCATCCTAAAGGAGAGGGCGCCCGGAGCTGCGCCGCCAGCGCCGCCCTGACGATCGCGATCCGCTCACTTGGCTCCCGAACGCCTATGCGGTGCGTGTGCGTGCGCGGATCGAAACCAACGACGTTCTGCTTGGGCCTCGGCCCAGTTTCCTCTGTGCGGTGATCGGGGAGGGGAGTCGGCGACGTCCTGCGCAAGAAGGAGTGCCTACACAGTGTGGACCCGGCGGCAGCCGCGTCCATGGAGGCAACGTGCCAGCCATGGAGTTGTGTGTCGCGAGCCCCGCCTGTGCCACTTGCATCGGCAGCGACCAGCGTGGTGTACGACGACGTCGCTGGGTCACTCTGTTCTTACTCCTGGTCACTGCGGTGTCAGGTAAGAACGCGGCAGCTTGAAAGGGTCGGCTAGCTCGACCGCACCGACTGCGGTGCGTGCTCGCGCGCGAACCACTTTTGCCGAATGCGTGACGCGTTGGCGCTGCTGGGTGAATGCGCGACTTAGTGGGGGTCGGAGTGCGAAGCCTTTCGAATGTCTTCACAAGGGCGGAGTTCAGTGTGAATATGTGTCTGTGCGTTGGACACCAGCTACTACTTTCTCCAACTACCCTGTTACCATAAAGCGCGTGCGTCGCTCGTGGATACTACGGCATTCCAAGATTTATGAACATATAGCTTGCATCATGCAGCTTCCTTGCACTCTAGGTTAAATGCACTTATACAACTAACACAATTAAGTTAATTAATTTACTCCGCCACCTTTGTATTGTAAGCCTCACAAGCCATTCTTTGGATGGAGTTATGCTGAATACGAACATGAAACCAGGTGGTTTGCAAAGCATAGCCAAAGTATAGTACTGTGATCATCCACTTGCTGTAGACTCAGACACCCCTGCTTTGTTCTTTTCTAACAGAGCCATGAAACGCAATTGTCCCTAGCAGCCTTCCTCAGAATGAATAAATAAAATCAGTGCGGAACCCTCTTAACTGATTTATTGAGAGCCTTAAAGTTCAAGATACAGAGGAGAATGCGTTTTAGATGAAATATCCTAGCTTTTTTAGAGACCTAAGTTAGTGGTCGATGAAAGAATATGTATGTGTTCAGCGATACTGCAATGCTAGCACCACGCAACACAATTTCTTTTAATGGCTCTGTCTGAGTTGCGATGAGCAACAGGGGTGGTATGTCTTCTTAACAACAAGAACTTCTGGGCTTTCTCGTATATATAGAGGCAGTTGGCATGGGTTTAGTTAGGCTACGTTATGTTAAGCTTCACAAACTACGCGTATCTTAGAATTAAAATGGCGGATAAGGTATGATCCGCTTTCTAAGCATATCCGTATGTGGACATATTTTCCTGTTGGATATCTTTCTGTAGCAGCGCTTGTGTTTTGGTGTGCTCCTAGCCTTCGTGGGTGATAAAAAGATTTATCGAAGTCATTGTCTCCAGGAAGAGATAAAATCGGGTAACAAAGTAACAATTACGAGGGCGTTTCTCGTGTTTTAATATGAACTACATATTGAGAGAGACAAATTATAGTACTTTCTTAGACTTTTTTGTATCAGTAAAATGTCAGTCACTTGGAAAAAACCAACTCAAATTTTAAGAGTTACCAATGTACGTGTCATGCTCGAATGCGTGTATTTGCGTGCGTCCGTGTGTATATTTATTTTACGGGTTAGGCATATTTCTGGACGGAGAAGTGAGAATGCGAATCATGATAGCACTCTTAACGATAGCTGTATGTGGTTTCGACATGAAGGATGCCCAATGTACTTTTACACTGTTCGAGGCTGTGTGTACACAACACCAAATTGAGCGCCAGTATATTCAGATGGGTTTCTATAAACGCCCGTTGTTAGTGTCAGCACTGGACTCGTGTGTCTTTCCTTCGTGCGTACGTTTAAATTTAGCTGCAACCATACGACATACAATGTTCTTGTCCAAAAATGCAGCAATGCATGGCATAACAGTCATGCTATACCTCGTGCATAGTTGTAATACATGATATTTTATACAATAAAAGATATACTATGAACAACAGCTGAGGTCTTGTGCATATGGGCAACGTTCAAGAAAGACCGTTCATAATTCTTCTTAATATTATTGCTAGAATCTACCATTATTATAGTAACAATCAAATATACTTGTTCATGACGGCCGCCTGCCGATGAAGGCGCAACGATTAAGGTTCATGTATCTTCTCGAGATCTTTAAAGCACTTCAAAAGACACGTATGTCCAACGTCACTCTCAGTAAATTTACGTCGATGAGTGTACATGTATATTGACTACAACTAAGCACCTATTATCTATATTTGCTCTCTCTGCATGCTGCCAAGAGCGAAGTTTTAGGTCGGAGTCAATTCATCGCAGGGATAATCTCATATGACATCTGGTCTCCCTCAACCAGTATTCGACCATTCATTTCATAACCATGGTTAAATAAGCAGAACTGTGCTGTGAGTTGCCTTCTGAGTTCATCGAGCTGCTTTCTTGTCGTTGCATCACTTTGGTCGTAGGTTCGAACGCACGAATCATTTCGTTTGTAAGTTCTCTTTGTCACCGACCTAGCAGCTTCACTAGGGATACATTTAGCGTTAGCTTGCTTGAAATTTACTGATGTTCACTTCTGGCGTAATAAATTTCCTTAAGTACGCGCGATGTCTTTTTCTTTCTTTTTCATAAATGTTATTTCTTTTCACTCAGTTAGAACAAATGAAAGCTCGTTTATTTACAGAGTGCATGCAGTCGAAAAGCTGTCTGATTTTGAAGGTATGTTTATGTGCCGAAAACACCGGCCACTTCCGCTTCTTCATTTCATTTCATTTTTTATTACCAACCCTATCCCAAAATAGACTACCAGACGTGATATCTCAAACAGTAAATAAAGAACGATGGCAGCCACTTGTTGAAAACACGGACAGTGTCCATTTCTCTTCTTCTTTAGATTCGTTCGAAGCATATCTTTAGCGCTTTATTTTAAGGGATGCTGAGTTACCATTTCAGTGGTAACTCATCCGAACGTGGGACGCGGTAGCGGTGAACGTGTATCAGCAACCACTTTTTACACATCAGCAGCCGCCAGTGACAGGCTGAAAGAGATTTTGTTTGGACAGAATCAACACTAAGATGCTCCATTCTCGCTTCCAAATGAAAGCAACATTAGCCATCTCTATGTCTTATTTATTTATTTATTTATTTATTTATTTATTTATTTATTTATTTATTTATTTATTTATTTATTTATTATTTCGCATTATGCGGATTTGTAGGAGTTTAGCTTTTGAACAATCTAGCATACGAAAGCATCCAACACCCGTCCAAAACCCTGCCTTGGCAATCTTCCTTGAAAGCGTGCTTTACCGCATAGTTGTTGTGCTTGCAAAAAAGCGCACTTTTAAAGAATGAACAACTGACATAAAGTACCAAAGGTATGTAAAAGTCCAAATTATCATGCCCATAAATGGCACAGCGTGCCTCCTCTCCACTTATTCTTTTTGTTGTTGTTGTTGTTGTTGTTGTTGTTGTTGTTGTTGTTGTTGTTGTTGTTGTTGTTGTTGTTGTTGTTGTTGTTGTTGTTGTTGTTGTTGTTGTTGTTGTTGTTGTTGTTGTTGTTGTTGTTGTTGTTGTTGTTGTTGTTGTTCTTGTTGTTGTTGTTGTGCTGCGGCAATTTTTTTTTATTCTTGCGCAGTGCTTCACTGTTTTGTGTTGCGTTGTAAAGAAATTTGACTTATGGGTGCGTACATCAAAAGCAAACACCTCTGGTGGGAGATCTCGTTTTGGATTTATTACCATCACTTGTGTGCACCTTCGACTGGCTGCTCAGTGACATAAAAAAGACGAGTTCAACGTATTTTCTGAAATCCTCACGGTATCAAGCTGACAGTGCGCGTTTCCCCAATCATATCAAGTTTTCGTTTCTCTTTTTTAGGCACATTCAGGCATTGTTCTCATGTCAAGCAACACTTTGTAACTTCTGTCGAGCCTATGACGACGAAAAAAGGATAAAAGTGCGTACATTGTGCTTTAAGTACGCTTAGTATATTTGACAAATTAAAAAAAAGAAAAATCTATAAGCCATTTCAATGTTTGAAGGGGGACGACCATCGACGCCGTTTATGTGATGACAGGCGGGTGACACGAAATTTTTTAACAAAGCTCTGAACTCATTCACTGTCTTGGTTTTTGGTCATTATGACAAACGGTACACACGCGTTTACTGTCCTGATCCGCCGTAATTAACTTTCTGGAATGGTGGTTTGCTATCTTTTGGCCGTAGGGGTGGTTACGATAGCCTTGGGGTCACCATGGTGCATACTTGTCGCCAAGGGTACCGCCTTGCATACGTGCTTATCCAGAAATATATCTATGCATGACCGCTGGTAAGCAGTGAGGATAGTGCATTTTGTGTGCTACTTCAAAGCGAAACCCCTCCAACACAAATCGCGTGAGCAGTTTGAGATGTAGATGCGCAGTCTGGAGATGAGCAGTCTGGAGTCTGGAGTCTCTTGCGCAGTCTCGAGATGTAGATGTGGAAATGGTCAACGACGTTTACATGCATCCTGCTGCCATCTGTATCCCAGTTAATGTGTGTTGACCAGCTCGATTCTGGCTCTTAGGCGCACTTGGAGGTATGTACAGAGTGTTCACCACAATTCTAGCTGCTCTTCGAGCCAACACTTCACGAATGTATTTAGCTCGAAGTCGGCAAACACCAGCACAGTCAGTGCTACTTTCATATGGTGAGGCATACATGATGTATAGTTTCGCATACGCTTTGTCTTCTGCTTATGCGACAACGCCTACTGTTCGCGAGCCTATATAATAATTATAGACGGTCCCATTGTAGTCGTTAAACTAAAAAAAGGGTCGAACCGGGTTTTCAAAATATGCCTCAGCGTGGATGACTAAAGCCACCTCGTAAAACCGTAGTAAGTTTATTGCACGTGATCATAGTGCGGGCTTTGTTGTTGGAAGGTAGAAAAAATACACGGAGTCCTAAGCATATTTAGCTTTATCGTGAAATTTTGGCTAGAAATTTTTTACTGAACAGGGCCCTATAGCTATTGCAATGGTACGGCTGACTCATACAAGTGGTACTGCAATTGTGTAGAAACTCTTGATCAGGTCTTGCTCTACTGCCCCCACTTTAAAGAAATCGCAGGACTAAAAGTACACTTTGAGGAGACTGGATGATTGCCCCTTTAAGTAAAAGATGCTGGGTGCATCGTCTTCAAGTACATTCTCGAAGGCAACATCACTAAGTGACTACCTGAGAAACTATGCAGTCAGTGTATGTGTGGCACGCAATGTGAATCTCCTTCTCTCTCTCTCTTTTGCTCCCTCGTTTCCCGCTCACCGCGTGTAGGGTAGCA